AAAAAAAAAAAAGTAGACGGCCAAATGTGAGTGATCAACACAGTGGCACTGAGGAAGAGGAAGACAGAGAGAGGTACATGAGAGATAAAGACAACAAAGATGAACCCTTTTGCACATGCAGTACTGTGTTGTCAGTGATGGCAAACATGATCTACAGGTAGATAGATGGGTGGACAGGCTGAACAATCAAGTATGTCAAGGTAAAAGGGAGGGTGCCCATGACCATGTACAGGGTTGGCAGATGATGTTTCTACAAGTGTATTTGTATGTTCTGTAAGAATATCCAGTTGTATAATAGAGCTGACAAGGGACAAGGTTGTGGTGACTTCTTGGCCACAGCCAGCTCCAGAGAGGGAGTGAGCAGTTGGACCTGTGGGCTCAGGACCATGGTCCCAGGGGACATTAAGCTCAACTGGCATAACATACTAAACAAAAACGTTGTTCCACATCCTACTTTGATGAGTTGCGACTGGGATCTTAAAAGCTTGCTAGCAGCCATCTAGATGCAACAATGGGTCTCTCCTTATCCAGAGCAAAGAAGAATGAAGAAAACCAAAGATACATGGAAACAATTAGTCCAAAGGACTGGCAGACCATGCCTCAGCCATAGGACCATGAGACCAGAAGAACTAGATGGTGCCGGGCTACTACTGTCAACCACTCTGAGGGGAATCTGTATAGGAGATCCTGGATAGAGTGGGAGAAAAACGTGGAACAAAACTCAAAATTATAAACAAAAAAAAGAGACCAGTTTGCTGATTGACAGAGTCTGGTGAAACCCCTGAGACTATGGCCCCTAGCTGCCCATCAGGTCTGGAATTGAACTCACTCCTGTGGCTTCCAGCCAAATAAAAGACTAGTATATGGGGTGAACATTTACAACAGGTACATATACTCCTTGGAGAAATTAATCATGGGAGAACAGAAGTGCAGTGTATGCACAGAAGACTGCTCGGGGGCAGGAGTGCATGGGTGGGAAGTACTCAGAAGAGGTAACTACGGGGAGGAAGTGGGAAGGGAGCTGTTACATTGTGGAAATAGCAGTCAACGTTATGAGACAAAATGTGTATGAACTGCTGTATGGAAAATTAAATTGCTCTGTAAATTTTCACCCAAAGCATGATAAAAATTAAAAAAAAAAAAAAAAAACCCATAGCGTGGACTCTGACTCATAGTGACCCCCATTAGGTTTCCAAGGCAGTGAAAAAAAAAAAAAAAAAAAAAGGTAGAAGGAATACACAGAGTCATTATACCAAAAAAACCAAAGTTCAAATATCTCAGGAGGTAGTATATGATCAAGGACGACCAACGGTACTGAAAGAAGAAGTCCAAGCTGCACTGAGGGAATTAGTGAAAAACAAGGCTCCAGGAATTGAGGGAATACCCACTGAGATGTTTCAATAAACAGATGCAGTTCTGGAGGTGCTTACTTGTTTATGTCAAGAAATTTGGAAGTCAATTGCCTGGAAGAGATGTGTATTTTTGCCCATTCCAAAAAGTGACCCAACAGGATGTGGAAGTTATCGAACAATATCATTAATATCACATGCAAGTAAAATTTTGTTGAAGATAACTAAAACATGGTTGCCATGGTATATAGATAGGAAACTTCCAGAAATTCAAGCCAACTTAAGAGGAGAATGTGGAAAAAGGGATATCATTGCCAACTGTGTTAGACTGGGTTCTCTGGAGAAGCAAAACCAGTAAAGCTTATATAGAGTGTGCGGCGTAGTAAATTACTTAGTGTGGCTTTTCTACCCATAAGTCTTTGTAAACTCCAAGGTGGGATTTTCTATGGGTAACTGAGGAGCTCCTGATTGCTGAAGTTGTCCACCTGGAGTATTTCTGTTGGGAGTGGCACAAAAGAATGTTCTGGGAGATGCCCACTCTCTCTCAGGTGCTTAGAGTTCTGATGCTGATTGGTTAGTTTGACCACCCTGCCGGGCTCAAAAGGAAGCCTCCTAGAGGCAGAACTCTCTCTGACTGCTGG